CTGCGGGTTTGACCCGCTGACATGTTTCGCATGTCTTGACGTATCGGGCGACCCACTTGTACATGTGGGTCCACCAGAAGGACTGAGAGACCGACAGAAAGGTCTTCTCGCGACCCAAGTGGCCGCTGGAGGGCGCGTCATGCGCCTCCGCGAGGATGTCGAGCTTCCGATCCTCGTCGTTGGGTACGACCACCCGTGGAGGATCAGTGGGCTCCACCCGATAATAGAGGAGGCCCTCCTTCAACTCATATCGGTGGAGCCGTGAGCGCTGTCGCGACGAGAGCCAGTCGGACTTCGCGCTCGTTCCGGCCTTAAGGAACTTGACGATAGGCGCGACAGCCTCATCGTCCCGATACGCCATGCGTATCCGATCATATAGATCCGCTGTCACCCGCGTGATGTAGGCCAACTCATAGTCGGGACGCCGAGAGAGGGCGTCCGCAAGCACGTTGAGCTTGCCCGGCTTGTATTCGACGCGGAAGTTGTATTTCGCGAAGAAGGACTGCCACCTCGCCATCCTTTGGGAGAGGTGAGACGAGTTAGTCGCCGTCCTCAAGGACGCGTGGTCTGTGTAGATCACAAAGGGCCTAGATCCCAGAAGGTGAACACGGAGCTTCACAAGGGCATATTTCATTGCCAGGAGCTCCTTGTCGTGGACAGGGTAGTTCCGCTCGGCGGCTTTGAGCTGCCTGGACTGGAACGAGATGACTCGATCGTGTCCAGCCGTGTCGGCCTGCAGCAATGCACATCTGATGGCGTAATCGGAGGCATCGCAGACGACACGAAACGGCTTCGTCTCGTCCGGCAGGGTCAGGACAGGGGCCTCTTGGAGACTGGCCTTGATGCTGTCAAAAGCATCCTGGTGCTCTTGTTCCCAGCGCCAGTCGACGTCCTTCTGAAGGAGGCTCGACAAGGGCTTAGCGAAGCCCGCGTACCCAGCGCTGTACTTGTGAAGGTAGTTGGCCAAGCCCAACCACTTTCGAAGATCCTTCTGGGATCGGGGCGTCGGCCATGCTGCTATGGCCTTGACCTTGTCCGGGTCAGCCCGAACGCCCACGTTGCTGACGAAGCAACCGAGAACTTTAATCTCTGGTGACGCGAAAACGCACTTGTCGATGTTGGCGTAGAGCTTGTTCGCTCGCATCACGTCCAACACTCGACGGAGGTGTCCTAGATGCACCTCCATGGCCGTCTTGCCTCCCTCGGCACGGCTATGGACGAATATGTCGGCGAAGTACGTCTGTACGAAGGTACGCAAAGGGCGGAACAATTGCGTCACCAGGCGATTGAACGTCACCGGGGCGTTAGACAAGCCCTGCGGCATGACGAGCCACTCCCAAAGCATGCCGCTTGGAGTGCTTACCGCGGTGAGCGGGATGTCACTCTCTCGCATCAGGATTTGGTAGTATCCGTCTACCAAATCCAGCGCACTGTACAGTACGCTCCCGGCCATGTTGTTCAACAACACATCCTTTCGCGGGATCGGTGTTTGGGCCGGCACCGTTGCGTTGTTCAGCTTGTTATAAGCGTGAACCAGACGCCACTTTCCGTTCGGCTTCCGAACGCAGAAAGTCGGCGTCGAGTGCGGGGATTTCGATTCCCGCACCATGCCTGCCTTCGCTTTCGCGGCGAAGAAGGCATCAATGACCTCGCACTGTTCGCGCGGGAGAGGCCATTGCCTCGTGACACAATACTTTGTGCCGTACGCCTCGATCCGGTGGGAGTTGGGTCGGTGGGTGTTTGTTCACCACGTCCGCATACTCCGTCACCAAAGGATACACCGGATCCTTGGGGTTCTTGAGAATCTCAGAACCCAAGCGCGCCTGACGCTGCTTGTTCATGTCTTCCAGGACGTTCTCGTCCAAGACAGAGGAGGAGTTCAGCTCCTCCTGAGTGGTCTCAGGTTTCATGAGTATCATCTCAGCAATCTCTCCAGCCTTGAGGTTGGCCAGGAAAGACTCATCCGTCATTTTCTCGAGGTTCAGTATCTCCGCAACCTCTGGCAACGGTTCCAAGTGGACACCAGATGCCTTGACGGGTAAACCTGTCTCGCCATCGAAGATGTGATAACACTCTTCCACCGGCCTTGTCGGAGGAGCCCGGGCCCTGGACTCCGAGTCGCTTGAAGCGACGTCGATCGGAACAAAGTTCGGATCCGACTTGAGGCGGCGGCGGTGTCTTTGCCGACGGCGTCTGTGACGGGGAGCTTTGCTGCCCACGTCTAGGGATGTCGTCGCTACGACATCCGAGGCACTCGTGGCCTCGTGTGATACTGTTGTACCCACACAGGAAGCGTGTTCAACGCCTTCCTCTTCAGTTAAGGTCTGGGCGACCGCGTGTGGCACTGTGTTACCCACACAGGAAGCGTGCTCAACGCCTTCCTCTTCAGTTAAGGTCTGGGCGACCGCGTGTGGCACTGTGTTACCCACACAGGAAGCGTATCCGACGTCTTCCTCGTCAGTTAAGGTCTGGGCGACCGTGAGTGGAGCTCTGTTACTTACTCTGAACACGCTGTTTTCAGTGTTCGTGACAGCTGCAGCTGTCTGCGGAACTAAGCTACCCGCCTGTGGACCTAAGTTACTCACTTGGCCAGCGCCTCTTCTGGGCGCTGCCACCATCAAAGCATCCTCGGAGTCGTCATATACGTCGACGACTCCCAAGCATCTGCCGAATGCTTTGGTACCCTGGCAGCCCTTGCGGGCGCCCCGGGTCCTGACAGAGGTGGGAACATGACTCACCAATGCTCTGTCGGACTGCGCAGGGCGGCTGGCACCGATTGCCTTGCCTCACCAGTCGATCCAGGGCTCGTGCTTCTCAAGCCAGGGCATGCCCAGGATCATATCATATGGATCCATATCGAGAACAGTGAACTGTTCGAGGCTGTCAAAGTCTTCAAACTTGACAGCCAGATCCACTTGGACGTTGGGGACAGTGACGACCTTCCCGTCGGCCAGTCGCACTGACACCGTCCCGTTGCCCTTGCTTTCTCTCAAAGCTTCGGACAACTTGTTGCTGTTACGAGCAACCGTCTGGCGGCGAGCGAAATTCTTCGACGCCCCAGAGTCAATCAAGATCCTAAAGGGATGATCGTATCCCCGTACACATCCGTGTACTACGAGCAACCCGCCGCTGCTCTTCGCCGATTCGAGAGTGCGAAGACTCTCAGGGGCTAAGTCCCCGTGGTACGCGCCACCCGCGCACCCATCACGAAGACTTAGTTCTTCCCCAGTAGGGCGCCCCGCCCCTACTGGTTCCCTGCGTTCCCCTGTCCCCGGGATCCTGGCTTCTGCCAGCGACCCTTGAGGACGGGCTTGGGGAAGGACCGTCTGCGGAGTCTTTCCGCGGGACAGTCGCGCTTGAAGTGGCCCATCTTCCCACAGCCGAAGCAGCGGATGTCACGCTGTTCGGCGGACCCGAGTTCCATGGGAACTGGTCCGTTGGGGCTTATTCGACCGGGAGCCGATAAGGAGCTCCCAGGCCACGCTGAGGCCGGCGTACGCGCCTGGCGATGGCTGTGCTCTTCTTGAAGCGCCACTTGAAATGCCTCTTCAAGGGTGCCTGCCTGCACCCGGAACAGCTGAGTGCGTGCGGGGCCCACTCGAAGGCCGTCCATGAACACAGTCATCTTGATGTGTTCATTGAGTGGGTTTCCCACTAGGGACGCCGTGAGCTCCCGTATCTCTTGCACATACTCGTGCAGCTCGCGCCTTCCTTGTTTACACGCGAGGAAGCGCGAACGCTGGCGGTACTCGTAGTTAGCCGGGAGGAACGCGGCTCGGAGCTGTTCGCACAGCTGAGCCCAGGATGTGAAACATCCAGGGGATGTTGCTTCCCGAGTGTACACCCAACTCTTAGCACGACCGCTAAGGTTGGAGAGTGCAAAAGCAACACGCAGTTGCTCGGTCGAGATCAGAGCCGCGTCCATTGCGAGCTCTACTTCTCGGACCCAGAAGTGAAGGTTCTCGCCTTCCTTCCCTTCATACGGCTTTACCTTCAGCCGTATTGGCTTCGGGTGAGGCGGGTTTGCTTCCGCCGCCGGAGCCTGCAGGTTCTCCCGCACATGCGCGATGAGGCCCTGCTCGTACGCGTCGAATGCATTGACGCGCTCGAGCTGCTCAGCCGGTGTTGGAACCACCAGGCTCTGCAGGGCCTCCATCCCGAAGATGCCTGCCATCTTCCGAACCGACTCGAACTGAGAGTCGTTCAAATGGGAGAAGTCGTTCCTATCCATGGCAACGAACTTCGGAGGCTCAGGTAGTCTACCCGCGATGGCGTGGATTGACTACAAGTGCTACCAAGTGTAACGGGGTCACACAGCACCTCGCGCAAGAGGAAGTTATCTTCCGAGAGTATACAAACTCTCAGTGAACGGCAGTTCACAGGTCCCCTCTTTTATTAAAGAGAGCGAAGTGACCCAAATAAGGTAGATTGTAAACTGAGTATATTTATAGGTAGATTAAGTTTGGGTTTAATACAAACTGTTAGTTACCTATAGAAATGCAATGTCATTTAACCAATGGTTGGCTTTGAACGACCTTGGTACCTTGTACCAAATATCTCGGAGTATGACGTGTCATACTCCTGAAGTGTGAAGTGTCACACTTCATGTAACCAGGGTACACTTAGGGCTACGTACCCCGTTACATGTACCCCTTTAATTATGTCCAATCAAGTGGAGGTGTGGGTTGAGCGGAGGTTTACTCAGTTGGCCCAAAGCCGACAAAAATAGCAATATTATGGACACTCCTGATACTCAAGTGTGACGTGTCACACTTCATGTAGCCAGGGGTACACGTTAAAAATCAGAAACCAAACCTCCTCCGCCATTTCTCGCCACCCGCCGCCATCGTACCCTATCAACCAACGCTCAAGGTTCACTACGCTTTAATCGTAATATTTCCTGTCAAAAAAATAGAAAAAAATTGACTAAGAGTCACGAAATAACCTCTGCTGAGGTTTTACTCTGATGTTGTGTGTTACATCGTAGTTGTTGTTCGAGCATGGAGAAGGACGAGTTGCTCAAGGAGCTGTCGCTCCAGGAGAAACTCGCTTATTTTTTCTGTTCATATGTGCACGAGGAGGCTGTGGACCCGGAAGTAGACGGTGATGCCGTGCGACGCTGGGAAAAGATCATGGTGTCGCGTCGAAAGTCCCGCGAGCGCGTGTGCATCCTGGTGAACCAGATGGAGAACACGTCGGCAGCCAACGTGCGCACGTTGGATAAGAGCTACCGTGCTAGACGCGAGCTACTTCTGCTGTCTGAGGGCACGATTCGCACTGCGGCTAGCAGTGGTGTGTCATCGTCTGGTCGCGGGGGTGTCCAAGCCCAAGTGGAGATTGCTAAAGCGAACAACGAGCTGCTGCAGGAGTGCGGCGCTCTCACAGTATTCACCGAGCGTCTTCAACGCTCGATACATGCGTTCCGAGGCCTAAATTTTCAGCATTTGGACCTGGATCAGGTGGACGTGCTCATCAACGACCTTCAGCAGGACATGGTGCTCGTGTATCTTCTGATTATCTTCAACGCGCACAAGAAGAACGCCGTGTTCGACCGACAGCTCATGATGATCGGCATCATGGGCCCGTCATACTCGCTGGTGTCTATCCTGGACTGCCTCAGCCAGCTCAATGTGCTTCCTGGATTCCCCATCAAGAGATTGCTACTGCTCTTTTACGAGTGGTTCTCTGCTGTATTGGGCGGATTCGACGAACTTAATGCACTGAAACGCCTGCGTCGTGAGCAGAGTGACATCGACCCTTCCATTCTTAAGGACGATGCTGAGGGCGTGCTGCACTGCAAGACGTTCAAGCCGTACAACGACACGATTCAACTTGATCCACAGGACCCGTACTACCTTCAAAAGAAAAAGTTCGCGAAGAAACGCGAGGGGATCCACAATAGATATCTGCACAGGGCTAACTACGAGCTGAAGTCACAGCAGTCTAGTGATGCTGATCTTGCAATAAAGCCGCTCGACACACTCGATGACGAATGGGAAGTGCGTGTAGAGACGCTGTATCAGCTGTTCCTGCCCTGTATGCGCGACTACACTACGTTCCTGGGAAACCTCGTGACTCTGTCTTGTGGTAGCGCGCTCAATGCGCGTGATAAGAAGACGTTTTACTCGCGACGACCCTCAGGTGCTGAGCAATACGGTATGACCGACTTTTCTGCTCCTGGCGGCGAGACCAGCAACGATAATCAATTCTGGAAGTGGATTCTTCGCGAGAAGGCAATTGTCCTTGACGTGTCAAACTTGATCATCCTGCTGATTTACAAACACTTCCGCGCAAGTCATGCGTGCAAGGCCGAGTACTTTATGCAGTTTTTCTTGGAGGCCAACGTGCTGGCAACGATGACAAAGTTCATGAATAAGGATATTGGTACGTACCTTCAGGTATCTCGTCAAGAGTCCGATGAAGCAAAGACTGGGTTCTATGGGCTTGAAAAGGAGTTGGAAAAGCGCACCATCCGCTTTGAGGAAGACATGAACGAGTATTCTATTCAGTCTACAAGGACGATCACGAGCATTTTGCGAATTTTGCAGAAGCTGACCAAGAGGAAACCCAACATCATCAAAAATGCTCTTTGCCGAGGGCAAACAATCGTCTGGCTAAAGGTATGTCGGACGTTGGGAGTTAATTCTTCTTTCTTGTGCTTGTTTTCATACTGACTGGTTTTACGCGCTGTCTTTTTCGTGGGCACAGCGCGTGGTAGCTTTGCAGATCCCGTTGCCGCGACTATATGCTCTTAAACTCGTGAAGTCTCAAGCAAAGTATTTAGGCCACCAGGTTTGCTGTGTTAATTTTTTTGGAGCGCTTATGTAAGATGGCATTTGTTCATTAACTTGTGTTTTTTTTGTATGCTGCACACAGTGGGTGAAGAAGTACACGTGTTTCAGCATGCTCACCGAGATCTATCTTCACGTGCGACCAGAGCTCGATGATGACTGGCTGCACTATGAGGACGACGATCTGAATAAACCTCCGACCCAGGACTCGGTCGAGCGGCTTATTTTTGGAGAGATGCAAGCGTATCATCACAAGCACTACTTCGATTCTCCATTTGGAGGTGTCAAACCGCTTCCTGCTGGGGCTTCGATGATTTGTGAGGATCGTAAGGAGCTAGACTCGGACTTGTTCATCTCCGATGGCGGACGCTTGGCGAAGATGTACAGTGCAATTAAGCTGGATCCTGTCAACTTTTGCAAGCAATACGAGAAGTGGCTTGACGCAGAGAACCTCAAGCATGATTCTACGGCCGATACCGCACCGCTTCCACTTTTATTCGAGTGAAGAATGATCATAGTAGGTGCTGATTGTTTAATGAATTCTTCTTGTCTTCCACGCAAACATGGATTCCCATTTATTTTCTGTTTTTCTTCTTGTACTAAACAAATACAACTACTACTAGTAGTAGTATCAAAGTCTTGAGAAGGATGGTAACGCAAGTACCTGTACTATCAAGAGATGAAGCGCACTAGGCAGAGCGCTGTGTAGAGAAGATCTGGTAGACGAGCATCATAGTTGAGTACTTTGCACGTCGGAAGCTGTCGAACTGGTAGTGGTGCTCTTCACAATTCTTTAGCATATTGGGGCGGCAGTCAAGGAACGGGCACGACATCTCCAGTTCCTCCGTCTTGCTATTGCTGCAGGCTTCAGCGAAGTTGGCCGGAGCAACTTTAGTAAGCACCGCCTTCTGTCCAGAAGCAGGAGCGATTGCCTCCGCTACTGCACCCTGGCACTTGCTGCAGTAGTATGCGTCTACATTGATCGCTCGCCAGTAAGCAGCGTTGACTATCAGCTGCTTACAGGCGGCGCACGTTGGTTGCAAGGCAATGACAAAGAGTGACTCGCATGCCGACTTCACCGATTCACTGACTTTCTTGCGGAACTTTGCACTGCTCACGCCTGCAGTGTTTGCTTCCTTTCTTCCCCTCTTTGGAGGTGAGGCAGCAACCCGCTCGGCTTCGCTGGGCCAGTAGTCGCCGTCAAAGTATGGGGGGAGCTGCGTATCAAGAGTTTCTTCCAGGAGCTCGAATCCGTGTTTGTACAGGTCGTCGCAAGCAAACACGACTCCCAGCTCCTTCGCCTTTTTGGCCATAATCAGGTACCACTGCAGAAGGCGCTCTTTGCCTGGGTTTTTCTGAAAAGAAGGATGGCACCAATAAATGAAATCACCGCCACGCGTGGTAGGGCATGCCCAAATATGTGCATACTCGTATCCCTTGGCTTTGCAAGAAGCCAGGTACGAGATGAGGATCTGGTGATACAAGCTCGTACGTACATGACGCGGACGCATGTACACCAGACTATCAAGGTACGCAATGTACGTCCGGTTGCGGTTGACAGGCACCTGGCAGTACTTATCATACTCCTGAACATACCTGAATGCACCAAGCAACGAAATGAGCTTCCATCACTAGAAATTCAACGAATACATGAAAATGAATCCACTTACATAGAAAAGATGCAGACTTCGACACCGTTAATCATCTGAAAGACGAAGATGACCTTCGAGGTGTAATCGATGGTTTGTGGGAACTAATTAAGTAAGATCAAAAGGTTAGTTCGTGAACACTTCAGCTAAAAGACAGCCTGAGCTTACCTCTTGCGATGCAGACCGAAAGTTCTCGCGCACAACGGAGCTCACGTGACACGAGCTTTTGATCGAGGACACTACTTTCACAACAATGGATTGTGCTGCTTCGTGTTCGCCGAGATTTTCCAAATGCTGCTGCACCCACTTCTGCATAAACCGCGATACACCACACGACTGTAGATTTTGGCTTGTCACGAAACTAGACGCAGTGCTCGCGTCCACGGCATCTAAATCTACTCGTGTCAAATAGTCAAACACCTTTTCTTCGATCTGCTCATCAAACCCAAGCGCTCGTGTAAAATCTTTAGTGAACGGTCTGCGCTTGAGCGCGGGACTGTGAGACCCCAACAAGTCTTTACCAACTTTCACAGGGAAATCCTCGACGGATGTTTCCATCGGAGACATACCCAGCTCGTTGTTCTTTTCCTCTGCATCAAGCTCCTCAAGACGACAGAGCGGACACGTGTACATCACTTCTTCCTCTTCATCAGCGTTCTCGCAGGCATTGAACAGCGCACAGATCTGATGCACCCAGCCGCTACATTGGTCACACTGCACCCAAGGCTCCGTCAGCTCATCCATAAATTTGGCCTTCAGCAGAGCAAACTTCGACAATGTATTGTCTGTCGATGGAGTGGGGTGTTCATGGTCTGTAATCGTAGAAGGTAATACCTTTATAGTTAGTTCCTTGGGAAGTGAGGTGAAGCACTTGGAGCACCAGTGGTACTGTCCATCGGGGGTCTTGTAGTACACTGCATGGCGTTTAATGCGCTGGCGGCACGCCCCTGAGCACATAACGAACGGCGGCTCGAAATTGATGCACTTCTCATTGCACATCCCACATACGTTATCGAGGCAGAATGGGCACGAGTGTTCATCACGACGCTTGGTCATCGCTTCAGCTTTGGCCTTATACTTTGCGTAGTCTGCCTCAAATTCCTTGAGCAACATTGCCGCCGACTCGTGTACAATGTGTCCCGGTGGGTTAAACAGGCAGGCGTTGTTAAACACGAGGCGGATCGCATCTGCACATTCGTCAGCCGTGGCATATTCGAGATTCAAGCATTTGTTTTTGACGATAGCCAAGTCCATGGGATGCTTGACAACTTCGAAGTAGTGCGGAATGTTCCACACCTCTGGGTCTACCCGCACATTGAAAAAGCCGTGGTTCCCCTTGTGGAACATGAGCTTGGACACGATAGCCAGCAGCGGCCGCAGAAACAGCTCACGCCGTACGTCTCGAAGGTGCTGCCGGATTTGCTCGGCTGATGCGGAGTTCAGAGGTGACAAGGCAGCACTGCGACTGCCGCTACGAACAGCAAGGCGCCGCTGTCTGCGGATAACAACAGCTTCAGCGTTTCCATCTTCCGTTTCCTGGACACAGAGCTCGCGCTCTTTCACTTCAAGCTTCAGCTTTTTGTCGCTTAGTACGAACGTAGGCGTGGCGCCCAGCGCGCGCTTCACACCATGCGGAGTCATCGTGGCGTTCGCGGGCGCAGGAGTAGCCAGGCTCCCGCCACTCGGCTCCAGTGTGGGCGCGAGCTGCTCGGAAGCCTGAAGCTCAAAGGCAGCCGGAGATTTCCCGCCCTCACACGACAAAGCTCGTGTGTCGTTTAAACCCATTGGGGCGGGGGCCATGCCAGAATGTAGGTTTTGTCTTTGTATTTGTAAGTCTCTGCAGTTTTGGGCCACTTGCTCGGGTGAGATGGCATCCAAATATGAGGCCAGCGGGCGACTCACCGCCATACAGACTGCAGGTCAAAAGTAGGAGAGAGGCGAAACGGATTCTTCTGGAAGAAAATGGATCGGTGCTACTATTGGCTAAAACGCTCGCGCAAACGGACGGCAAAAATGTGTGTTCGGTCGGTCGGTCGGTCGGGAATATTTTTGGTACTGTACTGTGAACGACCAATTTTGCAACGCGTTACATAGGGGAAAAACTATGGAGCTCGAGGTTTCGGAGATCGAGGTTGCAAGAGAGGATCCATGAAACCTCAAATGAGTTATTGTTAGTACGTTACACTTAAAATATTAACATAAAAACTTTATTCATTATTATTTGTACTCGAAGAGGAAAGCAATAATTTCTAATCTAAAAACAACCTATCATCCTGTAGTCCTGTGCATCTATTCTTATCGGGTCGCCTTGATTCCACGGAGGCAAACACTCACTTTAAAAGATGCAGTCTGCGCAAACTGACTCGACCATCACGTTTGAGATCCCTGTACTGTCTGAACAAGAGTTTGATTCTTTTGATGACGCTGAGCTCGCTCTTCACACGTGGAACAAACAGCATGGACTTGAGGTGACTCGGGCGCACAACAAGAAGAACAAGCTCAAGGTGATACGCCAACGAGACTACCAGTGCGACCGCAACGGTAAAACACAAAATAATCGAGGTCTCAGAGAAAATGAGCGAGTTCGGACTGCGCGTGGAACCAGTAAAACGGGCTGCTCTATGAAGATCCGTCTAGAAGCTGTCGACCCCAACAATTGTGCGGGAAAATGGAAAATAATTCACTTGAACGGTTCAAAATTGCACAACCATCCAGCATCTCGTGATCCAAGCGTCCACCCAGGGCACCGCCGTCGTGATTTAGAGCGACACATTACTGGTCAAATTTCGAGCTTGGATTTGGTTGCTTCTCAATCGGCTGTCGGGGTTTCTCCGGAGGTCGTTATGGCAACTTTGCTACATGCTGATCCCGCTTCCTCTGTGACGTCAAAGGACATTGCTAACAGATAAAATTTCGACCGACGTGAGGAATTATCAAACGACACACCGACTGAAGTTCTTTTGAAGAAGCTAGAAGGGAATAATTTTTTCTATAAGTACGAGATCAACCCGGACACTTCTCGGCTGCAGTACCTCTTCTGGTCACATCCCGATATTCGCCAGTTTCACAAGTTGTTTTCTAACGTGTTAATTATGGATTGCACATACAAAACCAATCGATACGACCTTCCTTTACTGAACATCATCGCCATGACGAATATGAACACAGTGCTACCTATTGCACAGTGCTGGCTTCCCGGTGAGACCGAAGCAGATTTTACTTGGGCTCTCACACAACTCTCCGAGTTAATGACATCCAATGGTGCTACGAGTCCTTCCGTAATTCTAACTGATCGCGCTCTTGCCTGTATGAATGCTATCGACTTTAAGTTTCGAAACGTACCTGCGCATATCTGCCGAATCGAAACGTGTTGGCCAAGACCAGAACGGTTTTCGGTCAAGTCGAAGTCGTAAACCCAGCACCTGGTCAGGACAAATTTCAAAACAGTGTAGCCACAGATCAATTTATGGAATTGTTTCACAACACGGTTGATTCGACTGATGAACCGACATTTGAAGAAAATCGGAAATTGATTAGAGCGATGAGCTCGGAATTTGCGGATTACTTGGAATTACACTGGTGGAAATACAAGGAGAAGCTGGTTGCATGCTGGACGTCCCAATACTTGCACTTTGGATACCGAGACACATCGGCGGTAGAAGGTACCCACGCCAAATGCAAAGCTTGGCTTGAGACGTCTCGAGGAGACTTGTACAAGGTGTTCGCAAAAATGCTCCCCTGGTGAAAAACGTGCATACGTAACGTGAGCCTCGCTACTGAAAGGGACTTCTCTAAAATACCTCACGCACTACAAGATGATCGCTACTCTGCGGTGGTACTGCTTGTAAGCAGATTGCGCTCCTTGAAACAGAGGCTCTTTGGAAGGAAGCCTTGCGAATAGTCAGGAGGGGACTACACACAGAGCCATGTTCAGGAACCTTCAAACGTACGAGAGGCAGACCTTGTGTCCATGACTTGATTGTTCTGATCAAGTCTGAACGTCAACAAAAATTACTCTTGGAGCAATTTCATTGGCACTGGTTGACGTGGAGAGGCCGTGATCAAGAGCGAGAAAGGAGAGTTCTAGAGCCTGCACCAGCACGATGAAGCAGGCCTAAACGCCGCAAGACGTCAAGCCACAAGAAGAACCACGGAGACTCTGGTACAGCTCGAGAACCCACACTGAGTGAGCGAATCGACCAAAATCATCCTGCTTCACCCCCGTCGCTCCTAGCAAACGTCACTTTCCAACCGATACTTCCGGCACTTTCGACAGTACTTGCTAGTCAAACACAGAGTGCTGAGGTCGATCCACCTATTTGGAGGATTATCTACCACCACGAACCTGGGGTTTTGCTGGAAACAGACCGTACTAGATGAACTCCTCCGCAACGATGCCACAAAAACTCCATTTAATAACGCTCATTCATTTTTTAATTAAAAAAAACGGTTATGTTTTATGAATTCAGTTGTATGAAATTCTTGGTAAGATGTTATTTCGAAAATTAAGAGCAATATTTGTGCTCTTAGAAGTGTTGCGGTGTCATTAAGATCATATACTGTAAATGTAAGAGATACTTGTGAGAAAAATAAGACTGAAAAGTGTGCACCGATTTATAATTACAACTTAGACCAAATTTGATTTTATTTTATCAAAATCAAATTTATTCATTTTTTAATGATCTTCTCTTTTGACCTTTTGTTTTATGCATCCTACCTATCTTTTGTGTTCTTATTAGCGATTTAAAGTTTCTAAGCGGGCCATAAGCTGTTTGATCAAAGTGTCGGTGGTAGAAAGCCCTGTGTTGTGTTTTATCCGACGAAGCCGCTCTTGCAGATTGACTGTGACGATCTCCGAACTGTTGGGTATTTTGGTTAAGAGGTTGTCGAGGATCGCGCTTACTGACCCTCCATCAAGGTAGGTGTCAATTCCTCTCCGTGAGTGCCATCCGCGGAGCGCTTCTTCTTCTGTGTCTTCTCCACCCGCCGCTTTAGCTGATAATGTTTTCTGTCTCTTCGAAACACGTAGAATTGAATCACAGGGGTTGTAGCTGCGTGGCTCCCGAAGTCGCTTATTAGCCATGGCTAAAATGGATATTGAATGCAGGTCAGCGACGATGAGTGATGGAATGAGCATGTTCCTGTTACTATTACTTTCTGTATTGACTTAAAAACTCTATCAAAGGCTAAATTTTATAAAATTATATTTGTTTTGCTTTAAAGAAAATCTGGGAAGTTTTATTTTTTATTAGGCTGCTCGGCTTAGCGGTTTAAAAGCTCGAGGCGAGTGGTAAGCTGCGTGCTCAAAGTGTCGGAGGTAGAAAGCCCTGCGTTTTGCTTAAGTAGACAGAGACGCTCGGCTAGATTTAGCGATACAATCTCAGAGGTGCCCGGAATTTCGCTCAAGAGAACGTCGAGGACCTTGCTCGTCGGCATTCGTGCAAGCGAGATGTTCCACTTGCGCCGGTTGTAGTAGGCCTTGTTTTGAACTTTACGCCTCGCCTTCTTCTCTGCAACACGCTTCTTCACCGACCGCTTATCACATTTGTTTTTCTTCTTTAGGTGTCGCTTCATAGAATAAGAGCTTGCGAATGTCTTCTTGCATTTGGGGCAGCGCTTGTCTGCAGCCTTCTTCGGTTTGCCACCCATGGCCGAATGAGAACTGAAAAACAAGAACCGATTACACTTGATTGATTGAACCAGATATAATACTAAATACTAGAAGTTTTTATTTTCATTAAATCGACGATTGATAGAATGAGATACATAAATCAGCTAATAAAAATGAATGAGTGCAGAAATTTCAAATTTCAAAAACAGATGCACTCATTTCCTCTTTGAGGCAAACATGTGAACCTCGAGCTCCGAAACCTCGAGCTCCATAGTTTTCCCCTATATCATCAGCCAATGGGTTGCCTTTGACGACCCTGGTACCATGTACCAGGTATCTTAAATGTAGCCAGGGGTACACTTGGGGCTATGTAACGGGAAAAAAACTATAGGTAGCACTGTGTTCATATTCGTCATGGCGATGATGTTCAGTAAAGGAAGGTCGTATCGATTGGTTTTGTATGTGCAATCCACAATTAACACGTTAGAAAACAACTTGTGAAACTGGCGAATATCGGGATGTGACCAGAAGAGGTACTGCAGCCGAGAAGTGTCCGGGTTGATCTCGTACTTATAGAAAAAATTATTCCCTTCTAGCTTCTTCAAAAGAACTTCAGTCGGTGTGTCGTTTGATAATTCCTCACGTCGGTCGAAATTTTATCTGTTAGCAATGTCCTTTGACGTCACAGAGGAAGCGGGATCAGCATGTAGCAAAGTTGCCATAACGACCTCCGGAGAAACCCCGACAGCCGATTGAGAAGCAACCAAATCCAAGCTCGAAATTTGACCAGTAATGTGTCGCTCTAAATCACGACGGCGGTGCCCTGGGTGGACGCTTGGATCACGAGATGCTGGATGGTTGTGCAATTTTGAGCCGTTCAAGTGAATTATTTTCCATTTTCCCGCACAATTGTTGGGGTCGACAGCTTCTAGACGGATCTTCATAGAGCAGCCCGTTTTACTGGTTCCACGCGCAGTCCGAACTCGCTCATTTTCTCTGAGACCTCGATTATTTTGTGTTTTACCGTTGCGGTCGCACTGGTAGTCTCGTTGGCGTATCACCTTGAGCTTGTTCTTCTTGTTGTGCGCCCGAGTCACCTCAAGTCCATGCTGTTTGTTCCACGTGTGAAGAGCGAGCTCAGCGTCATCAAAAGAATCAAACTCTTGTTCAGACAGTACAGGGATCTCAAACGTGATGGTCGAGTCAGTTTGCGCAGACTGCATCTTTTAAAGTGAGTGTTTGCCTCCGTGGAATCAAGGTGACCCGATAAGAATAGATGCACAGGACTACAGGATGATAGGTTGTTTTTAGATTAGAAATTATTGCTTTCCTCTTCGAGTACAAATAATAATAAATAAAGTTTTTATGTTAATGTAACGTACTAACAATAACTCATTTGAGGTTTCATGGATCCTCTCTTGCAACCTCCAGCTCCGAAACCTCGAGCTCCATAGTTTTTCCCTGATATAGTTTTTCTTAAGGTGACTTATAGCTTCTTTATTTAACTCAAGGTTAGCCTACCTATAAATAAATTCATCTTACAGCTTACCTTAAACTGTGTAGCGGGGTACGTAGCCTTAAGTGTACCCCTGGCTACATGAAGTGCGACACGTCATACTTCGGGATTATTTGGTACAAAGTACCAAGGTCGTCCAAAGCCAACCATTGGCTGATGACATTGCTTTTCTAGAGGTGACTTATAGTTTGTATTAAACCCAAGCTTTATCTACCTATAAATAAACTCATTTACATTCTAGCTTAATTAGGTCACTTCTATCCCTTTTCGATAAAAGGGGACCTGTGAGCTGCCGTTCACTGAGAGTTTGTATACTCTCGGAAGATAGCTTCCTCTAGCGCAAGGTGCTGTGTGACCCCGTCACACTTGGTAGCACTCGTAGTCAATCCACGCCACCGCGGGTAGACTACCTGAACCTCTCCGAAGTTCGTTGCCATGGATAGAAACGACTTCTCCTATATGAACGACTCACAGCTCGAGTTGGTTCGGAAGATGGCAGGCATCTTCGGATTGGAGGCCCTGCAGAGCCTGGTGGTGTCAACACTGGCCGAGTAGCTCAAGCGCGTCAATGCGTTTGACGCCTACGAGCAGGGGGGCTCATCACGCATGTGCGGGAGAACCTGCAGGCTCCGGCGGCGGAAGCGAATCTGCCTCACCCGAAGCCTATACGGCTGGAGGTGAAGCCGTATGAAGGGAAGGAAGGTAAGAACCTTCACCTCTGGGCTCGAGGGTAGAGCTCACGATAGACGCGGCTCTGATCTCGACCGAGCAACTCCGCGTTGTTTTGCGCTCTCCAACCTTAACGTCGTGCTAAGAGTTGGGCGTACACGCGGGAGATGACATCGCCTGGATGTTTCACATCCTGGGTCAGCTGTGCGAACAGCTTCGAGCCGCGCTCCTCCCGGCGAGCAACAAGTACCGACAGCGCTCGCGCTTCCTCTCATGTAAGTATGAATGGCGTTAGCAGCACGAGTACGTCCAAAAGATGCGGGAGCTCACGGCGTCTCCAGCGGGCAGCCCACTCAACGAGCACATCAAGGTGACAGTGCTCATGGATGGCCTTCGAGTGGGCACGGCGCGCACTCAGCTGTCTTGGGTGCAGTCAAGCACCCTCGAAGAGGCGATTCAAGTGGACCTTCAAGAAGAATATAGCCATCGCCAGGCGCGTGCCTCAGCGTGACCAGGGAATTTGGTCTAAAATTCCGGCCGGGCAACCCCTCCAGATCAGTTCCCATGGTGCCCGGGTCCGCCGAACAGCGCGACATTCGCTGCTTCGGCTGCAGGAAGCTGATCCACTTCCAGCGTGACAGCCCCGGGGGGGGGACACCGCAGGTGGCCTTTCCCCAAGCCTGTTCTAAAGGGTCGCTGGCAAAAGCCAGGATCTCGGGGTCAGGGGAATGCCGGAGACCAGTAGGGGTGGGGCATCCTACTATGGAAGAACTGAGTCTTCGTGGGAGGTACGCGGGTGGCGCGTACCACGGGGGCTTAGCTAAGTCTTCGAGAGAGGTACGGGATGGATCGAGCCACACTTAGCCCCTGAGAGTCTTCGCACTCTCAAATCGGCGAAGGGCAGCGGGGCCTGCTTGTAGTCCACGGATGTGCACGGGGATACGATCACCCCTTTAGAATCGTGATCGATTCTGGGACGTCGAAGAGATTCGCACGTCGCCAAACGGTTGTTCGTAATAGCAACAAGTTGTCCGATGCTTTGAGTGAAAGCAAAGGCAACGGGACGGTGTCAGTGCGACTGACCGACGGTAAGGTCGTCACTGTCCCCAGCATCCAAATGGATCTGGCCGTCAAGATTGAAGATTTCGAGAGCCCAAACCAGTTTACTGTTCTCGACATTGATCCCTACGATTTGCTCATGAGCATACCCTGGCTCGAGAAGCACGAGCCTTGGGTCGACTGGCTAGGCAAGGCAATCGGTGCCAGCCGCCCTGCGATTTTTGATAGAGCATTGGTGAGTCATGTTCCCACATCTGTCAGGACCCGAGGGCCCCGCAAGGGCTGCCCGGGTACCAAAGCATCCGGCAGATTCTTGGGAGTCGTCGACGTATATGACGACTCCGAGGAAGCTTCGATGGTGGCGGCGCTAGGAGACGCTGACGAAGTGGGTACTTTAGGTCCACAAATTGGTAACATTGTTCCGCAGACAGCTGCAGCTGCCACGAACGCTGATAATAGCGTGTTCAAGGTGGGTAACAGAACTCCACACACGGTCGCCCATATCCTAACTGAAGAGGAAGACGTGGTGTGCGCTTCCTGTGTGAGTAACATAGTACCGCACGAGGCCTCGAGTGCCTCGAATGTCGCGACATCACGACATCGCCAGACATGGGTAGCGAAGTTCCACGTCAAGTCGGATCAGAAATCGACGTCGCTTAAAGCGACTCGGACTCCCGGGCCCGGGCTCCTCCGACACGGCCGGCGGAAGAGTGTTGTCTTATCTTCGATGGCGAGACCGGTCTACCCGTCAACGGCATCTGGTGTCTACTTAAAGCTGTTACTGAAGGTTGCAGAGATACTGAACCTCGAGGAAATGACGGCCGAGTCTTTCCTGGCCAACGTCAAGGCAATGGATATTGCCGAGATGGTGCTCATAAGACGAGAGGCCACTCGGGAAGAGTCGAACTCCTCCTCTGTCTTGGACGAGAACGTCTTAGAAGAGTTGCGCAAGCAGCTTCAGACGCGCTTGGGTTATCAGATCCTTAAGAGCCCAAAGGATCCGGTGTATCCTTTAGTGACGGAGTATGCGGACGTGGTGAACAAACACCCACCGACCCAACTCCCACCGGATTGAGACGTACGGCGGGAGATCGACCGCGTGTCTGGCACAAAGTACTGTGTCACAAGACTATGGCCTCTTCCACGCGAAAAGTGCGAGACCACTGATGCTTTCTTCGCTGCGAAAGCGAAGGCAGGCATGGTGTGGGGTCAAAGTCCCCGCACCCGACGCCGACTTTCTGCGTTCGGACGCTGAACGGGAAGTGGCGTCTGGTTCACGCTTATAACAAGCTGTTCAACGCGACGGTACGGCCCAGACACCAATCCTTCGAAAGGATGTGTTGCTAAACAACATGGCCGGATGCGTACTGTTCAGTGCGCTGGATTTGGTAAACGGATACAATCAGATCCTGATGCGTGAGAGCCACATCTCGCTCATCGCGGTGAGCACTCCAAGCGGTATGCTTTGGGAGTGGCTCGTCATGCCGCAGGGCTTGTCTAACGACACGACGACATTCAACCACCTGGTGACGCAACTGTTAAGGCCATTGCGTGCCTTCGTACAAACGTACTTTGACGACATCTTCGTCACCAGCCGTGCCGAGGGGGTCAAGGCGGCCATGGTGGTGCATTTGGGATACCTCCATCGAGTGTTGGACGTGATGCGAGCGAACAAGCTCTACGCCAACATCGGCGAGTGCGTCTTCGCGTCACCAGAGATCAAAATTCTCGGTTGCTTCGTAAGCAACGTGGGCGTTCGGGATGACCCAAACAAGGTCCAGGCCATTGCAACAT